TTTAGGGCAATTGGATTTGGCACGTGCAACTTAAATATATCATGAAACCAATGCAATATTTACCATAGCTTGTGAAAAGTTGAACCTGTACAAAAAATCATTTTGTGATTGAGTATTGGACAGCATGAATGTACACTACTTTTGAATATAACCCTGATCTATAGGGAATAAAGTTATTTTTACACAATTTAAGCTTATGTAATAATTTCTTAATGCAGATATCAAATTCACAATGCTTTGAATTAGGAGAATGCTGTACCAATATTTTGATCATAAAGTGATTACATGTGTTTTTATTTGGCATTGCCTCATACATGCTTTATTCAGTGCTCAAAAATGATTCTGAAAAATAGAAAATTGTTTACTTGGCTGATATCAGTTCTAATATTTACTAACACTTATTAATTCAAAGCATTGGTGATGGTCTATGCATTATTGGTATATCAGTAGAGCTGCTTGACGTGGATATATTTACAAAAGTCATGTCAAGACCATTATTAAATTGTGGCAATGACAGTCTACCATTTGGAGATGAACATGTGGTATAGCATGGACATGTGTTCTAGTATGGCATGGACGTGTTCTGGTATAGCAATGACATGTGTTCTACTGTCGCATGGACTGTTGTTCTGGTATAGCATGGACATGTGTAGCATGGACATGTGTTACGTACTGAGTACTTGAGCTCTACCTTGCTCCAGACAAACATTCTGGAATAACATGGACTTGTGCTGTGCCTTGCTCCAGACAAACATTCTGGTATAACATGGACTTGTGCTGTGCCTTGCTCCAGATACACATTCTGGTATAACATGGACTTGTGCTGTGCCTTAAGGGCTCCAGATACACATTCTGGTATAGCCTGGCCATGTGTTCTGGTATAGCATGGACATGTGTTATGGTACAGCCTGGCCATGTGTTCTGGTGTAGCATGGACTGTTCTGGTGTAGCATGGACATGTGTTATGGGACAGCCTGGCCATGTGTTCTGGTGTAGCATGGACAAGTGTTATGGTACAGCCTGGCCATGTGTTCTGGTGTAGCATGGACTGTTCTGGTGTAGCATGGACATGTGTTATGGGACAGCCTGGCCATGTGTTCTGGTATAGCATGGACATGTGTTATGGTACAGCCTGGCCATGTGTTATGGTACAGCCTGGCCATGTGTTCTGGTGTAGCATGGGCATGTGTTATGGTACAGCCTGGCCATGTGTTCTGGTGTAGCATGGACATGTGTTATGGTACAGCCTGGCCATGTGTTCTAGTATAGCATGGACATGTGTTATGGTACAGCATGGACATGTGTTCTGGTGTAGCATTGACTGTTCTGGTATAGCCTGGCAATGTGTTCTGGTATAGTCTGGACATGTGTTATGGTACAGCCTGGCCATGTGTTCTGGTGTAGCATGGCCATGTGTTCTGGTGTAGCATTGACTGTTCTGGTATAGCCTGGCAATGTGTTCTGGTATAGTTGGACATGTGTTATGGTACAGCCTGGCCATGTGTTCTGGTGTAGCATGGCCATGTGTTCTGGTGTAGCATCGCCATGTGTTCTGGTGTAGCATGGACATGTGTTATGTACTGAGTACTTTAGCTCTACCTTGCTCCAGACAAACATTCTGGAATAACATGGACTTGTGCTGTGCCTTGCTCCAGATACACATTCTGGTATAACATGGACTTGTGCTCTACCTTGCTCCAGACAAACATTCTGGTATAACATGGACATATGGTCTACTTTGCTCCAGACAAAATAATTCTGGTATAACTTGCACATGTGCTCTACCTTGCTGCAGATAACATTCTAGTATAACATGGACTTGTTCTCTGCCTTGCTCCAGATACACATTCAGATATAACATGGACTTGTGCTCTGCCTTGCTCCAGATACACATTCTGATATAACACGGACTTGTGCTCTGCCTTGCTCCAGATACACATTCTGATATAACATGGACTTGTGCTCTGCCTTGCTCCAGATACACATTCTGGTATAAAATGCACATGTGCTCTACTTAACCCCCAAATTTGAATCATCACTATTTGTAAATACACAAACAGAAAATCACTTTGTTAACTCTCTGTAATGTTTGTTTATCATACATAAACAATATTATTCATACAGGCTTTATCACTAAACCTATTGCACTCACCCAACAAACATGTATTATACCTAACATTCTGTGAATGTGAGTCACTGTGAGAGGAATAACACAAGTTTATTCCTTTGAGTCATGTTGAAAGGTCACCAAACTGCTAGCCAGAGTTTCACACTCTTGAGGTGAGGACAGGTAATTTACTTATCAGGACTCTCTTGAGATTCCACAATCTTGTTGAGGAACACCCATAGCTACCATTGTCTCCTTACTATGAATTGTGAGTCTGGCTTAGATAGGCTATGGTATTTTCAGGATCATTAAAAGGATCTATAAAAGGTGTCAAAATTGATTGGTGTATACGATTTGTTTATGCTGGTTGCCAGGGGTGACTATACCCTTTCTGACCAAGGTAATACCATCTCCTTGCTGTAAGAACTTAATATTCTCATGACGTTTATGAGAAAATTATTTAAATGATATTTTGATATTTTGGCCAGAGAGCTTTTATTTGCCCAATTTTGTATGCAAATGAATATACCTTCAAGAAGTTTTGAAATTTGCCATGAAGGATGATATTTAGTTTCTTTTGATCTTGTCATGCAGTGAGATCAAAGGTCAAGTTTAATGAAAACTGAATATGTTTATAAATCAGCTGTAACCTCTGGGTACTGAAAAACAATGTCTACAGTGGACATATATACCAGTCATCTCCCCAAGGTAAAGGAGTTAACTGACTGTAATTGAACGAATTCAGCATGGCAGTTGCCCTGATGTTTATGAACCGGATATCGATTTCATTAGGGGGTTTGGGTTGGACTATGATAGACTCATTAGTCAAGCCTAGTTCAGCAAGGGTGGAAACTGGATTTTTAAAATCAGCTAACCCTCTTGCCTTGGGAAGATGCACACCCAAAAAGTTTTGGCGGATTACGTCCCATTAGTGGCTCTGTTTTGTGTGTTTCTCACACAGATAGCTGAGTTCGACTTCCATGGCTTTCTGCATATCAGCTATTGACAAACTGTGTTGCATAAGGTTTTGTTACTAAGCCAGAAACAATGTCATACCTATCATGGTTAGCTTTCTACTAAACAATGTCAGGATAGAATAGGTCCCCATTACCAAAATGCTGGTTATCAGAGCTGGCCAATGAATATCACTTGGTTACTGTGTATGGCTGGAGTGGATTGCTGCTCTTGCTGTCAACCATTGGATTTCCAATGTGTCAAATTTACAGGCCAACAAGATATATCTTGAATATTGCTGACTACAGCATAAAACAAGATTAACTCAAATTCCACAGCCTCGCTGACTTGGTTGAAGCATGTCATCGATCACAATTGCGTGGATCGATGTTCATGATATCAATCAATGGATTGTCTGGTCCAGACTTGATTATTTACAGACCGCCTTCATATAGCTGGAATATTGCTGAGTGTGGCGTAAAACAACAAACAAACCAACCAACCAATTCCAAAATAAGACAAAAATATATTTTTGAAAAATATGTAAAAAAGACAGTAGTGCTAATCAAAACACATATGGAGAGAATCACTATGTTTTAAAAAAATGTTCTGATATTCTAGGTTATGTCAATGACCATATATCAGAATATGGTCTCTGCTCAAAGTCAATATTTCATTTCCAACCACCAACAACATATTTGAGTCCACAAGTCCGGATCTAATTGAATGGATATTTTTGTATGCATAAATAAAGGTACTAAAATATCATGCAAATTTCAAACACCTTTGAAATATTCATACCACAAGTAAGCCTCGAAACCACTTTTTCCTAGCCCTTGTGTATATCCAGTTGACAGTTCAACGTTGATTTACTGTCGGTCAGATATCCAGTTACATATCAACCTTGATGTGCCTTTGTGTTGGTGGCAACAAAGGCATGTTAATCAAACAGGCTTTGAATGGTGTATACATAGTTATCACTTCTAATACTCTTCCTTACTGGAAGATAGTATTATGACACTTATCAAGGGTCTTCGTGGGAGGGAACTTGTCTACAAATATCTACAAACAATCTATGCAGGTTTTGCATTGATATTTTTGTTTGTGAAAGGAAACGGGTTATCAGTTTGAAATTACTAGCCATGTTAGTGATGTCTACCAAATTTGGTATCTCACGACAATTCAAAATAGAAGCTTGGAATAGAAAGTAAACATGATGACGAAAAAAAATCAAAATTTCAGAAAATAATTCCTTGGTCTAGTTGTATCAGTTGTGGAATTTAAGGTTCTGAAAGTAACAGTGCACAACACTGCTTTTTAATCAGAACTCAGAATTACAAACTATTGGAATGAAAACTGAGGCACACTAACAAGCTACAAGTTAATGGTTAGACATTCCACTGAATGCTTGGAAAGCATGGCAACCTAGATGCCATCAATAGTGCATTATACTGATAAACCAGTCACTGAAAACATGAGCCATAATCAACACCAAGTCACCAAGCCTGATCACCTGATCCACTTTCATCAACTGTTGCTTGTTACATATGGTGCTTGGAACCAGTCTTACCCATGAATCCAATTGGGGTTATATTGGTCATATTGTCCTGAGCAACTCTGCTGGTCGTAAGAGGCCACTGATTGGATCCGATGGTCTAGCTTGGTGACATGATTTATTTGCGTGTCATAAAACCTTGCCAGAGGGGGACGTTGCTCTTAATATCAATCACTGGTATGACTGGTTTCCCATGCATCATGAAGCAAATAAGGAAATATACAATTAAATCAGCAAGACTTCTTGGACAAAGAGGAAAATTATTGAGATTGATCGTAATACATGTGGCCACTGTAAGTTGTCCTTAGGAATAACTTTCCATCCAAGTGGAAAAGGCCAACACAATACAAAGTGAAGCCATTAATATTTCCTGATGTTCTCCAGATGAGCTCGAGCGAGAGATCCGTCGATTGCAGCAAGAACACCTGCGCAGAATGTACGAGCTTCAACGCGAGATCGAGCGCATCCGTCAGGAGCATTATCTGCACTGTCACCAGCACCATCATGAAGTTGTGGAGAATCCAACCAAAGTGATCATCGCTCAGGCACCACCCCCACCCCCGCAGATCATCCAGCAGGCCGCCGCACCCCCACAGATCATACAGCAACCCCAGGTGGTACAGCAACCCCAGGTAAGTGGGATAACAACAGGGCAGTCATACATGCAAGCAGTGCACATTTCTTTCGGAAGTTTGTCACTACAGATTATATTCATCATCAAGTGTGTCATTATGATGATCATAATATCTGCACTTCACTGCACTGGACTGCACTTACACTAAATTGTCTCAAAATATTTTCATAAACACTTATAAATTTTCTAATTTTCATACACAACTGAAAGGAGAAAAGAGATTTCTTTTAGGTTTTAATTGCTCACCTTAGATATATCTTGTTCTTTTTAAACCAGATCAGTCTATTTAGTATTCAAGAGTGTGGCACATGATGAATACATCACGATTTAAAGTGCAGAATTGCCTCCCTTGGTTATGCCAGGATTTTGGATTTGAATCTTAGATTTGACCTGATTATGACCCCTGATATGTCTGCACCATGTAAATTGTGCTCACACAAAACCTGCATTATTATGGGATTTCTTCCCACATTGACTGAAATACTTTTGAATCTGCATTGAAACTCACTCTCTCACATTAGTATTCAAACATCCAAAATCTCGTAAACAGTTGTGTGGACACCAAATAGAAGATAGTATGAAAGGGAACTGCATCATGTATGACACCTGTAGTTTGTAAAATATGTTGGTCAAATCCGGCGTGTGACAGTTAGAAGTGCACCTTATTCACTTTAGATTCACCCCTAGCATAACACACTGTCAATTTACTAATACCTTTACAGGATGTTTTGTTTGTTTGTTGTTTAACGCCGCACTCAGCAATATTTCAGCTATATGACCGCAGTCTGTAAATAATCAAATGAAATAAAAGAAAACTGTTTGTATTTGGACGCATATAAATCTTGGCATACACTGAACGCAATGTAGTTATTTTTACAGATGATGTTTTTTGTGGTTTGTGTCAATGCTGACATCTGTTACCATGGTTGCCATCAATTTGGATACATTAATTTTTATATATATCTTCTCAGTCAATGACATTAGGCAGTTCTCAAAATCCAGAATCTAGTAATATATCTTCCTGAGATGAGCAAATAATAATTATGTATCAGCTGAAAAACCTGAAAATAATGACAAGAGACATGTCCAAAGAAGGACTCAAAAGATGTTGGCACACTGTCTTCAGACACCATGAAACTTGAACTTATCTTGGATTATTCCAGTTATGTTTTTATGTACAGTTACTCACATTGTTCTTATCAGATGATAAATGTTGTATGTGTAGGAACATTTGTGAAAATTCTTTGCATATTTTGCGTTATAGAATATATTTTGAGTTTTGGCGAATCTAGTGTACTGCCTTGAATATTTCAATATATCAGAAACTATTGGATTTATAAGTTAAAATCTCTTTGAATAGAATTACAGCAAAATTATTGAAGTTATTCCTCATCAAAGTCTTATTTGTTTTTAGACATGGCCATATTGAAAATGTTACTGTGGGTCCATTATTCAAATGTAAGGGACAAAACCCTTCCCGTATTCAAACGAAATGTCTACTTATACTACTACTTATAATCTCTACTTAATCTCTACTGTATATCTCTACGGTATACACATTATAATAGTATCAGTGTGGAATGTATATGTATAATAATTTAAAAACAGTAAAAGGTCAAGAATGATAGAGTTACTTAAACATATATCATAGGGCAAAAGGCGTCTGTCTCATCAAAATATCTTTTGAAGTTTTGTCACAAGTACTGATGGAGGAATAAGATCAATCAATTACTGTGACCAGATAATTTTAAAATTTATTCACTATTCATGAAACTTAATGTAAGATCATCAAGAGTTTATGACATTAGTGGATTGTTCATATACACCATCGCAAATGAAATTATTCTGGTGATCAAAATCCTTCTTTGAGCATGTGTTTAAAAGGGAGATAACTCTGACAAAGTCCAGCAAGGGAGAGCACTTCAGTCAATGCTAACCAGCATATTTCACAAACATGTTTAATCCAACTTATTTCATTTTCATTTAATGATCTTTCACGTGTGTGATTTTCATATGTTTGCACAATCTAATTTTGAGAATGTGTTCTTTTAACGCTGTTGTGTGTAGTCAAAACCTGTTCTAAGAAAACTCAGAATTAATCTGGCATTTCCATAAATGTCCCTTTGTGACTTTTCAGGTTCAAAATGTAAGTCAGCTGATGTCAACCATATGCTTTCCATCAACAATATGGCTACCCACATTACACATTGCCATTGTTGAAATAAATTCTATCTACCTACCCCACATCTGTTCCCTATTGCTGGTATAAACTTTGCAATAACATTTACTGTCTTCATTGAAATGCCATTGAAACTGAAATCTTGAGACCTTGACATGGTTTAACTGTGTATAACATGTTTGCAAATTTTGAGCATGCCCCATGAGCTATGATGAATTCTAGATCATCTGTCCCAAATAGTCAATTAAGTGGGTAAGTCCTGAGGCTTGACAAGGGATTTCAACATTACTGCACAATGGACAGACAATCTGTTATTCTAATAAATCACCCATAGTCCTTTTTTCTAAGAATTGGTAAAAAGGTGGATTCCAGATCTCAAGTGGAGGTATCACCACAGTCAATATATTGTTAGAACATCACATTAAGTTGTCTGTGAAGTCATTATCAATTATTTGCAATAATGTACTGATATGACATCACTTTTCTATGGACCACTGTGCAAATATAAGACATCAATGCCAGAGAACAATCAGTCTTCATTATGTACCAAAACAGATTCCACTGGGTGTAAAAGGCAAAACAGTGATGAAAATTATATGAATGTACACATGTATCACTGAAAATCAGTGATGATACCAGGAATTCCTAAAACTGATGAGCATGCCCTGCTCTACAATGAAAGAAATAATGGAACAATTCACATGAGCCTATCAAAAATAATGCTCAGTGAGAATGACTGAAAATAATTTCACCCATATTGTGGCCCTATGGATCATATTAAACTTAACTATCAGTAGTTCATTTTTCAACACATAATCTGGACAAATTTTGTCCTTACCTGGACCCTTTTTTATAGAAGATCTTGAATTTACAAAATTGTTTGCCAAAATATTATCTGTAAGAGGGTAGGAAAAAGAACTGATACAGAGACAGTTTGGGTGTGTCAAGGCTAACAATTGATTGCAGTTGATCAAATCTCTTTGTTATGTGCATGTTATTTGTTTTGCATGAACATGGTGCAGAATGCTTGTTTTTCAGATGTCTAAATAACAGGGGTCTGACTCGGTAGCAGTGAGTGGAGACTTGACACTGGTGTATATTCTGGTCTTGTATGTTTCAGCAAAGATATATGGAGGTTGAGCAAGTGGTTCCCTATGACCAATAGTAAGTCAATATGTCATATTTCCTTCACACAAGGGTTTTATTTGTATACAAATTTGGGCTGATGTTGAATTCACACTCTTATGCAATCTTAATATATTTCAAACTGTTCTTATCAAACTGTCATTTTATATCAGATTGTAGAATAGATTTTTGTAAACTTCAAAGCATATGATAATTTCAATCCAAAATAAATAGCTTTGCTATTAAACATTTGATATTTGGGCTTGTTTTATGTTTTTGAAAATTTCATTTAATAAAGATTCATTTCATATCCAGACAAGTTACAAATAAAACCCTGACAATTATTTGAAATGTATATTCTTGAACCCATGCATCACCATGCACTGTGCACACTGGTCAAACATGGGATCATTTGAATACTATTACCATTAGAAAAAGACTTCAAGTGAAGTTATCTTCATCTTTCTAAGACAAGTTTCAAAGATATTTTTAATGTTAGTTATGTTTTCCTGAGCTAATCAAACAAATTAGGACCGAAGAAGAAGAGTCCCTGAGCAGGTATATAGTGTGATAAAGGTGTGTAATCACTTGGGTTGAAGAGGATAAAATGGAGGGTTAGCATCACATAGTTGATCAGGTTCCAAGTATCGATATTGTTGTCAATACCATTCACTGAGTTCACCCACATGCACTTGCCATCTCCTTGCAGCAAGCCTCACTCACTCCTATAATCTTGCTCTACAGTTTTGTCCATTTTATTCCTTGGAAATGAATAAGATCACCTGTGGATACACATGATGGGTACCGGTAATGTGTGAGTGCTGTTTCCTTCCATGGAAGCAATATGCCGAGAAAAGCCAATGCAGTACACATATTTCATGTCAAGATACTATTGTAGAAAGTATTTCTTCATACAAGAAATACCACAAATTGGCTATGATCTTGGAGGTTTGAAACTAAATTCTGACTTTCTGGGGAAGAGTTTCATCGTCTGGAACTACGTCTTACAAGAGAAAGTCGGAGACTCCAGAACCAAATGCACATGGTCACAATAAACCAAATATAAAAGTTTGAGGAATTTTTCCAAAATTGTGAGGTGGGTGAACTTTAACTGTTCAAGGCAAATTTGTATATAAACTGCCAGCTGATGTGATTCACATGAAGAATGAATCTGTGGTAGGACAACTTATATGGTACTTATATATTTAATCAAGTAAAGAAGCAAGGAAACACACATCACAAATTTTAAGTCTGTAGGTACTTGTGGGACAATACAATTATGGGAGGCGGGGTATTTGGTAGTGAGCCCGACAGGGATGAAAGCCTAATAATTGCTAGCTGACAGCCAGCCAGATATATTATTCTGCCCTGTCTGGTTGTGTGTCATTGTGCCCTGACAGTTTAAACAGTTACTCATCCAACCACAGAGAGTGTCATGATTTAGCTGTTCTACTGCTGACCATGCTGAATGGCAAAAAACAACATTCATTCACTCAATTACCAGTGAGGAACAGTCTCTATGTTCATAAATGATCTTTTAGATAAATAAATCACAACTATTATCATATAAATATAAGATGCCAAGGCAATCGCAGTACACTAAAATTATGTCTTACCTTTGAGAACATTTATTTCTGTTTACGACTGGATAGGCAAATGACCACATCTTGTCAATTTAACTGTGATAATACCTCGCCAAGCGAGATGAGTCAATCAGGTGCCATCTTGTTACGTCACATGATTTCGAGCTGCTCCATGACATTCAAGTTAAGAATAGATGCTCAACATGATCAGTCACATGACATTACTGACAGGAAGTTTACAAACAGCAGCCGATACAAAATCGGTGCATACAATTGTTCTGATGCAAAATTATCATCAAATCAAGTCTGATTAAACAGTGCTTTAGTGAAAAAGTAAGTTTTGTGGTGTGTTTTCATTACTTATTGAATATCTTACTTTGTGTAGCTTAATTCGTAACATAACTTCAGTAACAAGTGGCTAACACTTTGATGTCTTCAGTGAGCTTTGAAGCATCTACCTTGATTATGTCATTAATCGCATGGTTACGTATTGTTTAGGGGATTGAAAAGAGGTGAGGTTCGAAAACATATTACGTGGGGATACAAAGCGGATATAACCCTGCTCACTCAGCAACTCGGAGACTGACGGATATTAATATGAAGAACTTATTGAAAGTTTATTTAAATCATGAACAGACAGACAGATTATCCTTTTTTATTGCATTCTTCTTCAAAAAGTAAAATATAATCCTACGATGCTAATAACATGACAAAAAAACCTCATTCCTCATTGTATACAAGATGAATTGTTGTATATGTGTCTCCAATCTCATTAAAATCATATCTTAGTTCTCGCTACCTTGAAACAAAAATCTGAGGACATCCCATTACGGGTCACATTAGAATGACCTTCCATCTGACCATTCAAAATCGGGAAGATGATGGTTGGAATGTGTTTTCATGCAACATTTAAAAGGATAACACAAGGCATTCCGAATGACAGAATGTACAGTACGTATCTCCGGCTTAAAGAGGATAAATATTTGAAATGGAAGAGACTTTCCATTGCCCATGACATATAATCTCGGCCTTCTATTAGACATTCCAAAATTATCTTTCATTCAGTTTTCAAGTTTTGATTCCACGTTATTGAAAGAGTTGTCTGGATTGGAAGTCGCCAGTTTGGAACTAGTGCCGTAAAGCTCGAAAAAGCTACTTTCTGATTGGTTAATTTTGAAATGTTAGTCATTTCATTGTTTGGGAAAAGTTCGCGAAAGGTCGTTCTGGCGTGACCTATAATTGGATGCCCTCACATCTTTGTGTAGCGGTAGCCAGTACTTCAATCCGATTTCAATGTAATTGGTGTGTCTCAGGTTAAATAACAATTATCGTCATCATCATCATCATCATCATTTCATCATCCATTAAGAATCTCAGAGATAATTTCAAAGTTGAGGTATCACTCAAGGATTTTATGTATCTGTTCCAGAGGCAATAATGCTCAATAATAATGTTGTTTCTAACTATAAAATGAAACTAAGAAGCCAAATCAATGAGTATGCCATCCTGCATTTATTTTATATGCTGGTTGAAATGTTTTTAGAATCGTCTACCAAACGTATTACTAAATACGATTTACAATCTCGGGTATTTCTGAAATTTTATCGCGAACTCCCCACTAGCTTGCATCTCAATAGAGTAAACTGATCGTCGTTACCAGTTTCAGCTATGGTCCCCGCATGAACTACGGCGGGGTGACATCAGTCACGCCATTTCAGACCATGACGCCAATGCCCCCGCAAATGGGACCCATGATGCCAATGGGTCAGTCCGTACCCATGGGGGCACCCATGGCTGGGCTGCCCCAACAGTCGTGGGTCCAGTCGCAAACACGCCGAGTTGAATCCGAGGTGTCTTAAGATGTAAGTCACTCAGCCATCTGTTTATTTTCAGTACTTATGTTCCACAACTGACACAACAAACTAGTCGAAGAAATTATGTTCTAAAATTTGACTATTTTCAGTAGCCGTGTTTACAATATATGAATGAGACTGGTGGAGTTGTAAGTATTTGATTCAATAGCACTGAAGAGTTTTGAAGCAATTGTGGAGTTTTCACAATTCTTCGGCTAGTTATCTTGTGTCAGTTATAGTAGGAAGTAGGAAATGATTGTCACAACATCTATTCAAATCAGACTATTATAAAACATAATTTCACCATATTAAAATTGTTTTGATTGATTTATTGTTAATAGCAATTCAAACAAATTTGGAAATATGAGTTGTGATAATCTGGTTAAACTAGTCAATTCTGGTATCAGATCAAAACTTACATTCCTGTCATAATATCATTGAATTTGATTCTATTTTCAAAGAGTCTTTCAAGTGATTTTGTTTAGTTTCAACTGTGAAAGAGTAGACAGTAATGGTTAAATATATTTGAACCTAATGTAGATAAAGTGGACAAGTAGATGGTTTTTTCTGTTGCTTAAGCTTAGCATGCTTTTCTCTGTCTATGCACATAGTATATATAGCCTGTCAATGTATATATACATGTATATGTACTTGTGTAATTTTTTATACTGGTAAACTGTATCATATCATAACATTTACTGTAGCATTTATCTAAAAGTAATTTTTCACATTTACTAAGCAATTGACCTGATCAGTTTTGTAGCTAAAAGATAATTGTTCCTAATTATGTGTAGCTTAGATCCTTTTTTGTGATTTATATAAATAATACTCAATAGCTTTTCTGGTGCTTTCTAATTATAGTTATTTATCACCTGACTCTAATAAATCAAAATTCCAGTTGACATAAGAAATATGGTTCATATTGTATTATAAATAAAAGCATATAGGAATATAAATATAGTCTCTGATATTAATAAAATATGGTCAATTTATGTTTGCAATGGAGCAGATTAGATATTAATGAATTTATTTCTTGATATTATGTGAATATTTTACTGAACAGTTCAAGAATCATATTTTTGCACATTTAGCCAAGAAAATAAATGAGTAAAACAATCACCTTGCACCATACAATGTTTGACAATAACTCAATGTAAGTGTGACCTGTCACCTAACCGTGTTGTAGCTAGTGGCCTAATCTTACTTGTCTTTGTTGCAGTATGAGTATGGGGCAAACAATGGGCCCAACTATGGGCCCAACTATGGGCCCAATGATCAACAGAAATGTGACTCTACCGGCCATCCCATCCCAGTTGCCTGGAACTTATCAGCCTGCACCAATGATGTGACGGAGAGGCTAACTGCTGCTGACTTATATAAAGGCCAACTTTTTTGTAGTTATTTGGACCACAGATTCACAGAGGTGCATCCAGGATTTTTAAGGGGTGGGGTGGGGTCACTTTTTGAATTGTCACTTTAGTGGGGCTTGTGGGGGAGTTTACCTATCAATATACACAAATATTTCAATAAAACAGAGTCATTTTATTTTTCATTTTGTTCCTTAATAATATTCTGTTCTTTTCAAAAAGGAGGGAAGCAGTTC